GCGGATGAGCTCCCTCTATCAGCTCCAGCTCCTCATGCGGGACATGAGAGAAGCCTCCCACAAGGATGATAAAACATCAAAATCATCTGGGCGTCCCCTGGGCAACGTCCTTGCAGACGGCCAATTCTCTCACAACAGGATGCTCCTGACACAACAAAAAAAAAAAGTGTGGAACACATCTAACCACGTTAAACCAATGGATGCTGCATTATCATTGGATGTCCACGCCCCACAGCACTGTAGAAATTATACTGTTTAGCCGGTATTGTATCACATGACATCCTCTGAGAAGCAGCAGCCAACAATGAAAGGACCAAAGTAGTGACATCTCCAACTCATCCTCTGTTCAGATATCAGCCAGCATGCCAATCTCTTAAATAAATAAATAGTTTTCTAAGATCTACAGCAATACTCACAGGAACACCTCAGCAAATGAGAGTCCAAAAGTGGCAGGCTTAAACCTAGAACCTCAAGCCATGTCTGATACCGGATGAGAGACTCCGTCCTGGGCACACAGAAGACTGGATGACTTGGAAGGCACTGAACAGACTGTGCTCTGGCACCACGAGATGAGAGCCAATCTTAAGAAATGGAGCCACAATATGAAGTTCATGACACGTGAGTGTGGAGAAGAGTAAACCACAGACCACCTATTACAATGCTACCTGAACCCTGCAACATGCACAATGGAGGACCTTCTCATAGCAAAACCAGAGGCACTCCAAGTGGCCAACTATTGGTCAATGGACATTCAGTAAAATACCAAGTTCTAAACTTTGTTTGTGTTTTTAAATACTTTAAACTATACCCTCAGTTTGCTTCTGACATGATAAATAAATGCCTGCTATTTTCAACTGTAACACTAAATTTCTGAATTACGAATGAAGCCATAGGTTTCAAACACGGGGAGCCGAATGCCTGGTGAGAAATCAAACATGAAAAACAAAAATCAAGAGAGTGACCCAAAAACAAAGCTCAGTTTAACTCTGCAAAACAAATTTAACTGGGAAATGTTTCTCTAAGTGAAGCAAAATACCAATAAAAACCAGAAGATAGCACTATGTGTATTTATATAAGGACGCCTTCCATTTGCTTCAAGCTTCCTGCTGCTTTTTGGAAAGCTAGCCTGTGGCTTCTGAAATCACAGAAGCTAGTCAGAATAGGAGAGAAACTATTTTGTTCTTTACTTAAAAAGAAAAAGAAATGAATTCTAACTGCTGGAGATATTGGCCAATAGCCGACCTCCTGTCAACATAAAGCAAATCTAGAAAATATTAGATGTATCAGGTTTAGCTCATGCTTTTAAGAGAACTGCGGTAACCAAACCTGGAAACAGATAAGCTGGAAAATGAATAGTGAGAAAAACGTCTTTTGTTCTTCTGAGATGTGGGAGTTGAAAGTCTCATATGAGGTGCCCTAAACGGAGAAGAAATGTAATGTTACCTTTCTAACTTACCTCCTAATTTTCCCACACTTACAAGCTTTTAAAGGACCAGTGAAAGGCTGAACACCGCCCATTAAGACGGAAAAGTCTGAATCTCTTTGGGAAGAAGGTTTCAAGAAAAAGCAAGGAGAATAACATCTTGTACATTCTTGGTCTATTGAGCTGCTATTACAAGTTTTTCCCAACTTGTAATAGCAGCTCAATAGATCTCATTAATAGTCCAGGTCAGAGCAGAGAAAATAATGTCCAGAATAAGCCAAAAAATAATGCGTAGCTGATCAGAGTATATTTCATGAAGGGCTTGAAATACCACACTAAAAATGTGAAGTGCTTGTCAGGACATCACTAGCATTGATATACTTTCAAAAAATACTAAACACAACTAGCCAGAAGGTTGACAGGAGAAGAAACAACATCATTTCCATGGGATTTTTCACTTTCTGCCCATTTTCTATGCCCTGTCATGATCTAAGGTTGCTCCCAAACGGGCACGGCAGTGCACATCAATGCATCCCAGTGAACTGAGTAAGAACAAAAACCATTCCTGCATTCAATTTCATCTGTATCCAGCAGATACCAAGGTCATCATTCAAATTCAGGGTAATTGTGTACACAATCCATATTGGAACCAGTTCCTTTTAATCCACTAACTAGGCATTAGTTAGTTAGTTAGTTAGGTCCGAATGTATTCTCCCCTATGAACCATCAAGACAATTAAGATCTTTTGGTGGGGCCCTGCTCTTGGTCCCACCACTTTCGCAATCGCGTCTGGCGGGAACGAGAGACAGGGCCTTTTCTGTGGTGGCCCCTCAATTATGGAACTCTCTCCCGATTGAGATCAGATCTGCCACCTCCCTCCTGTCCTTCAGGAGGCTGGTGAAACCCTGGCTATGGAAGGAAGCATTCCCAGAGTAATGGTTGAAACCGGTTACAGAACAAAGTTATCGACCACACATACGGACTGAGTTGGACATGATTTTATCTTGGCGATTTGACTTATTTGTAATTTTAATCGATATGTATTTTTGCTGTTATTGTATGATGTTTTTAGATTGTACTATTAGTATTTAATCCAGAAATTGAGGATCTGCCTCACTATTTGCTTTTCTGCCCTTTGTATTCTGATCCAAGAACCAAAATACTCGGGTTTATTCTTCACCTCCTTCAGACCAACACTGTGTCTGAAAAGATTTTTTATCTCTTGGCTGACACTAACCCCGTGGTTACTCAAAAGGTGTCTCTTTTTGCCCTGGCAGCACAGAAAATCCAGGCAAAACTAATCTCTGATATTGCAGTTGACTGTGCTGGGGATGCTTTCAACTAATAGTGGCTGTTTATGTAGTTTTAATAATGCTGTATCTATTTGCTTTTACTTGGTTTTTAATTACGCAGGTATGAGTCTACACATTATGTAGTATTTTAAAGCTGCATCTTGCTATCGATGTATGTAGCATTTTAATGATTTATAGGATTTTATGGTGTATTTTATATTGTATTTGATAATCTGGTGTTCATGTATTTATTTGTTTGCCTTGACTTGTATGTGAAAGACCTATGGTCTAAGCATCGAATAAAACTACCATAGTATTTAATCCTGTTATGAGCCGGTCTGAGTCCCTCTACGGAGGTTAGAGAAGATCGGAATATAAAAGTTTTAAATAAATAAATTAAATAAATAAACAGTGCTTGTTCAGAACAGTCCTTGGTCTGTTGTATAGCACAGATTGACCACATTTTGGTACTGAAGCTACAATTCAGCACAGAGGTACAGAAGTGGGTGGGCAAGCTACATAACAACACATATACTGCCCATATATTTCTTATTCTTCAAAAGAAGTAGACACTGAATTATGCAAAACATGCCATTATGCAATTCAAATAGAGGCTACTTTTATTATGACATAGTGTACATGAAAGGTTGTTCTCTAAAATCAGGACAGTAAATAAAGAGCAACACTCAAAAAGCAGGGGAATTCCAGACAAGAATCAATCAGGGCCAGATAACACCTCCAAACAAAGGATTCCCCCAGGCAGCAATCAGCCAGGCTTTGAAGCTACAATGCCATTAATTGCTAATCAATTAATGCTATTCAAGGTGAGCAATTGCGAATTCGCACTTGCCTCAAGCAGACAACAGTTATTTCTGCTACCCTGGACATTCCACAGATATATAAACCTCACTTGCCTAGTTTACAACAGATCCCTCACCCTCTGAGGATGCCTACTATAGATGTGGGCAAAATGTTCTGTCTGAAGAAATCTTTCCATATGAATAATCTCAGAGCTTAAGATAGTCTGAGGAAGCCCTGTTCTCAGACCCACCTCCTTCACAGTTGCGACTGACAGGGACGAGAGACAAGGCCTTCTCAGTGGTGGCCCCTCAGCTGTGGATTTCCCTCTCGAGGGATATTAGATAAGCCCCCTCCCTCCTGAGCTGCCGCAAGAAAGTTAAAATGTGGCTTTTTGATCAAGCCTTTGAAGATCCTATGCAATAGATAAAACTGGATTTGTGTGCAATGACTATTGGAATGGCCCAGACTATGACTTTGGATAACATGGTTAACACTGAAGGCACTGTTTTATATGTTGAAATGTTTTAATGTATTTTATAATTCTATTTAAATGTTTATTTTATCTGTACATTGTTTTGGAAGGCATCAAATAGTTGCTTAAGTGTAAGCCGCCTTGAGTCCCCTCTGGGTGGAAAAAGGCGGGGTAGAAATGTTGTAAATAAGTAAGTAAATCCTACAAATCTCTTGGGAAGACAAGTAGACAAATGTCAGCATGTTGGAAGAAGCAAAGACCACCAGCACTGAAACAATGGTCCTCCACCATCAACTCTACTGGACCAGCCACGTTGTCCAGATGCCCAACCACTGTCTCCCAAAGCAGTTGCGCTACTCCAAACTCAAGAACGGAAAATGGAATGTTGGTGGGCAGGAAAAGAGATTCAAAGATGGGCTCAAAGCCAACGTCAAAAACTCTGGCATAGACACTGAGAACTGGGAAGCCCTGGCCCTTGAGCACTCCAGCTGGAGGTCAGCTGTGACAAACAGTGCTGTAGAATTTGAAGAGGCACGAATGGAGGGTGAAAGAGAGAAATGTGCCAAGAGGAAGACGCGTCAAGCCAACCCCAACTGAGACTGCCTTCCACCTTCCACTAAGTAAGTTAAGTAAGTAAGTAAATGTCAGGAGAGAATGGCTCTAGAACATGACTATACAACCTGGAAAACTCACAGCAATGCAGTTCTCCAGACACTCTGTTCCTTAGAAGCCTACCAGAACTACAGAATTACTTTCCTAAACTTTCTTGTGTCCAAAAACAGGACCAAAATTGGAAAACGGAAAGCAGAAACGCATGTCTGCATGGATAAGACACTAATAATACATTAGAAAAATCTAGGAATCAGATAACATCAGAATTGCACATATAACTGACAAAAGTCCCACAACGGGAAATAACAGGGTCCACTTTAGTTTGAAACTCTTCACAGGATTTAGCAGAACAAATTCTGTAGAGCTTTAAAGAAAAATACTTGCAACGACTCACACTTACCAGGTCTGTGTGCACTTTCAGGTGGGCCTGCAATTTGTATTTATCGGGCGTGGAATAATCACAATCTTCTGTGGGACATTTCAGCAAAATATTACTATGCTTCTGAATGACATGTCGCTTGAGACAGTTTTTGGTGATGGAGGAGTAACTGCACTGAGAACAGTAATAAAGGTGCTCTCGAGTGTGAGTACGGACGTGCATGTCATAATGCACCTGGTACCAGAACAGTTTTCCTGGAAAGAACAATTCAAAACATGAACAAGGTTAATTCAATTCATTTAAATGTGCTCCACTCAAATATTGTGTAATGGAAAGAATGCCAAGTGGGATCTTGAGAGAACAGTGATTCAAAGGTTTGCTATACCTTGGATGTGGGCAACTGTTTTGTAAAGCAGAAATCACTATAATTTGGTTACCCATATACAGAATACTCTGATGCAGAATGACAATTTCACTGTTCTGACTATTCATCAGGAAACAAATGTGTTTTTTAACCCTAAATAAAAATATCGTCAAAACATTTAAGCTTTCCCACTAATCTAATTCCCCAAGACTTGTGTAATTTTATCACTATCCCCTCTGCTCAAATTCAGAATATTTGTATATATTCCATCTTGTCTCCTGTGCTATGCTAATAACATAATATAATGTAATATAATATATTGTATATACATATAATATTTATAATACTACTACTACTAATAATAATAATAATAATATGATATTTATTTATTGTGTATCAAAAGCATTGCATAAATTAGTATAAAACTGATAAAAATAGAAGGAGCGCAGGTGGCTAAATATCTTTTGACCAAAAATGGGCAACAGCAATGGCATTGTCTGTAGCCTCCAACAATTCTTCCTCTGTACATGAGGCAGGGCATAGTGGACAAGCATACAGATGCGGAGTTGTGTGTTCTGCTCCACAGTCACATAAGGTGTGGGATTCCTTTAGGTAGTGCCATTTTGCCAGGTTGTCTTTTGTTCTGCCCACTCCACTTCTGAGTCTGTCAGGGACTTCCAAGTTGCACATTCTTGGTTTTTTTTAAAAAAAAAACATAATATGATATTATAATTATATATTTTATATTACATCTAATATTGCTAATAATGTATTGTCGAAAGCTTTCATGGCTGGAATCACTGGGCTGTTGTAGGTTTTTTTTTTTGGACTATATGGCCATGTTCTAGAGGCATTTTCTCCTGACATTTCGCCTGCATCTATGGCAAGCATCCTCAGAGCTAGTGAGGTCTATTGGAACTAGGAAAGTGGCACATCTAATCACCTCTCAACAAAAGATTGCCCCAGGCAATCTGCCAGGCCATCAAATGCTAATCAAGGTGGTCAGTTTAAACATTCACACCTAGCTCCAACAGACAAGAGTCCTTTGCCCCACCCTGGTCATTCCACAGATATATAAACCTACTTTCCTAGTTCCAATAGATCTCACTACCTCTGAGGATGCTTGCCATAGATGCAGGCGAAACATCAGGAGAAAATACCTCTAGAACATGGCCACATAGCCCGAAAAAACTTACAACAACCCATTGCTAATAATATTACAATATAATGATATAGTACAATATAGTAATATATAATAGTGATATTGTACTATGCTAATAATATAATATATTATATGTGTATATATATATGTGTGTGTAAGCCACTCTGAGTCCCCTTCAGGTGAGAAGGGAGGCATATAAATGTTGTAAATAAATATAAATAAATAATATATTCCTCACCACAGTATTCACATTCCAAGTCTCCATAGACCTTCCTGATCTTCTCACAGAGAGCCGTGTTCATTTGCCGTTTTTGCAAACTGTCCAAAATCTGCATAAAGGCTGCTGCTCCAGTTCGATTCTCAGAAGAAGCTGAGCAAAAATCAGATTTGTCACCAACTGCTGCATTGGACTCAGAGGCAGGAAGTTGGACGGTAGATTCCACCTCTTCAATTGTCGCCACGTCTGCCTCCTGAGTATTAAGACAGATGGTTTGGCCTAACTCCTCAACATCAGGAGCACACTGTAGAACTTGGCCATGCGCATTTATATCAGCGCCCTCTTCTCCTGAAAGGAGAATGACTTCATTTTGAGTGTTTTGTGAGGGGTCAGAAGAGACCTCAATGTCTTTCTCCAGGATGATCCTTTCTTCGGTTAATTCAGAAGAAGCATCTTTCTGTAGAAAGCCATCTGGCACACTATCGGGGAAAACATCTGGAGATACCAGTTCTGTTGAAGATGAGCACAAAGCATCTACAGTATTTGCAACAGGAGGGACTTCAAGTTCTAAAGCAGGGGTAGAAGTGGTTTTGTCCACAACACCAGGGTTATCATGTTGGCCGCCTTCCACAGCACTCGATTCACTGGTGCAAACTGGTTTCTTCAGTATACAAAGTTCCTTAGAGTTCAAAAGTGAGAGTTCAGCTGCAGTCTGCGACAACTCCTCTCCTAGGGCTTCCTGCTGGATGTCCCCTCCTGGTTCCAGCAAGCAGAAGCTCTGGTTGATAGAACTGTTAAAAAGAGAGGTCTCCGGCAAGTCCCGGTGGGCTTCCTTGATATGTGAGCGGAGCCTGACGGAGCTGACAAATTTCTTCAAGCACTCGCTGCAGACATACACAAAAGGGTGCTTTCGGATGTGAAGCTCAAGGGCTTGGTACTTGGTGGCTCCATGGCCACACAGCTCACAAGCAAAGGGCCGCTCATCCCCGTGGACCAGCATATGCCTGTCACGATCGAGTTCATTTTTGAACTTGCGCTCACAGATATGACAGTCGTACAACAGCTGCCTTTTGCCCTCCCGGGTCATCAAGCGAAGCTCGTCAAAGACTTCCTTCACTTTTTTGTCCTGCAAGTCGTGGGCTTCTTTGATATGCTTGATCAGGTTCTTGACATCCGAGTATTTTTTCTTGCAGAAACGGCAGTGCTGCTTGATCTTCTTGTGAACTCGCTCTACGTGGACCTTGAGGTGGCCTTTGCTCAAGCACGTAAAGGGGCAGTAGTCGCATGCAAACTTTTCTCCCGTGTGCTTCCGGAGGTGAACGTTCAGGTTGGCCTTGATGGCGCTGGCGTAGCTGCAGAAGGAACATTTGTAGGGCTTTTCGTTGGTATGGATCCTCAGGTGGGCTTGAAGAGAGTGCTTGAATTTGAATACCTTGTTACAGTATTCACAGGTAAAGATTTTTAACTGAGTTGCACTTAACCTAAGGAGAAAACAGAGCTTCAGTTACTCACATTACTATAGCAGAATACAGCCTGCAGTGTGACCCTGATCCTGGTTCTGTAAATGACCAGATTTTCCATTAGAAAGGAGAAGGAGAGTTGTAGTTAACCCTCTGCCAGTGTGTAATACTGAACTTCAGGGTTTGAATCCCAACATAGTCATGAAAATCCACTCTAGGCAAGGTATACTCCTTCAGCCTTAGAAGAAGGTAATGGCAAATCCCTTCTGGATAAATCTTACCATGTAAAGCCATAACTCAAAAGTTACCTGAAGGTACAAACAGCAACAGTTGGTGCTAGATCCAATTCCAAGGAAATATAAGGTAAGGAAATCTTTTTCTTACTCCTCAAGAACTACATAGGTAACAAGAAGACTACATAAATAAACTACATATGTAAGGAGATGTACACAAGTGTAGGGTGTGAAGATCCCTTACCTTGCCAGCCAGGGTGGCAGGGCCCAGGAAGAGACAGGCTAGGTAGTTTCAGCTTAGAAGGCCTGGCAGAGAGCTGCTGGAGCCATCTTAGTTTAGGGAAAAGCTCCAGTTCAGAGAGGGGGAGTGGCCTAGGCCTGAGCCAGCCCAGCAACAGCCAGGATTGGTTTGGAAAAGGGGGGCGGAGTTAGCCAGTTGGAGGGAAAGAGAACAGATAATTTTGACAGTTCAGTGGAGTTCTGTTCAGTTAGAGTAGGATTTGGAGTTTTAGGAGTCTCTGTTAGGAATAGGCAGCTTGCCTGTAGTTTGCACAGCAAAGTAGGCTGTGGCAGACTGGATTACAGCTATTTTAGAAAAGAAAATAGCTGGGTTTTGTGTTAGAAATTGTAACAAAGGAAATAGAACCATTCTCTCAAGTAACCATTACGCTTTTAAGAACCAAGAACACTTTTATTGTAACAGCCAAGCCTCTGAACCTGCATTCACTTTTTATTCTGTAACTTGTAATCAATAAACTCTTTCTTGTTATTTTTAAAATTTAAGCCTGAGTCAAGTGCCATTTTTGGTTGGAGTCCTTTTCCTTGTTGAATCAACCTCTCCTGTTTCCCCTCAAAGAAAGCCCTTGATAATACACAGTATTTTGGTGGAGTAAAAAAGCCTTTTAATAATTTAAACAGCCTTTTAGCAGTCTAAATAGCTAGAGGGTTCGTGATTTCTTCAGTTTATGGTGGCAGCGAAGGTTTTAAAGAAAGAGACATTCCCTCAAACGCTATAAGAGCCAAAGTGGTGTGAATTCCTTATTGAAGGAGGGACAGTGTTGGGATCTGCTTGCCCCCTGTCCAGTGATATTGTTTGGCCATCAAGAAATTATATCATTATAATTTGGTGGCAGTGGTGGGATTCTTTGACCCCCCTGCCCAGACGGCCAATTAAGGAGTCCTTATAATTGGTTTGCAGCGGTGTGGATTCGTGTAACATCTCAATCCAGGGCATTTTTGTGTGAATCCTGAGGTAAAAGTTTGTCAAAACGTGACACCAAGAATTACCTCAGAGTCAGAACACCTCTAGCGCCATCTTAACACATATTAGACACCATGGCACCACCAAAGACAAAGAAGGGTACTCCTGAAGACCCAGAGAGAGAAGGGGAGGCAGTTGTCTCTGTAGTTGAGGAAACTGAGACCCAAATACAAGAGGGGAGACAAGAACAGATAGCTACCTCTTTGGCCATTGAAAAGCTTAGGCTAGAAATGAGGTTGAAAGAACTTGAGTTTCAGGCTGAAAGAGAAAAGATTCAGGCTGAGAGAGAAAGAGAAAAGATGCAAGAAAGGGAAAAGGAAAGAATGATTGAATTGGAAAGAGAAAAAGATTCAGGCTGAAAGAGAAAGAATGCAAGCTGAAGAGAGGCAGAGAGAAAGGATGGCTGAGTTGGAGAGGGAGAGAATACAAGTTGAGATAGAAAGAGAAAGAGAACGTTTAAGACATGAAGAGCGAATGGCAGAACTACAATTAAGAGAACATGAGAGAACTCCTAACTTAAGCCAACAGCAAGACTCTAACATGCAAAGGGTGTTAAAGAACTTTCCCCGTTATGTAAAAGGGGACTGCGTCGAGTCATTTCTGGCTGCCTTTGAACGGGCTGCTCATGATTTTGAGGTACCTGAAGATAAAATGATGGTGTACCTGAGACCCCTGCTTTGTGGGGAACTTAATGAGGTTTATGCTGATCTGCGAGAGACAGAGAGCGGGAATTACCTCATATTTAAAGAAAGGGTGAAGCTGAGGTTTGGCTTGACTCCTGAACAAAGTAGAAAGATGTTCAGGGAGATCAAAAGGAAGCCAGGAGAAACCTTTTCACAATTGGGAAGCCGAGTGGAAAAAGCCGTAGAGAGATGGCTGGAAGGAAGTAAAACGACCACTTTTGAGGAGTTAAAACATTTAGTTTGTATGGAACAGTTTTATCGACTGATCCCCATACAAATGATGTGGTTCGTTAAGGACAAGAAGATTAAACAAGTGTCAGATCTCGCGGCTTGGTTGGATGAGATGGAGCATGACTGGAATGTGAGTCATGGCTCAGGAGCCACCAAGAGACCGAGGGA